ACACACACACACACACACACACACAACAGACAATCTAAAATAATAAAAGTAAAAGAAAAACTGCACACAACTAGACCTTATTAATATTGTGCTCAGGACTGATATCAAAAGTAAGTACGAAGCTCTGCGTCTGAGGAAAGTATAAACTAACGGGTATTGCCAGTAAAACAAATTATGGCTTATACAGACACACATCGCTCGGCCTTTTCGTGAAAAATATTATGTTGTTGGAAATGTCCAATGCAAGTGGGGAGTTGAAAGTGGTAAATGTATTTACCAGGTACTACTCACACTCTAAGAAGTCGATATTATTATGTTGGCGAGTCACTTTATTATGATCGTATGTCTTTCAGTAACAACAATTTCACGTTTTGCTTTACGACCGCTGAGAAAAACGACGAAAGAGGGAAAAACAAATAGTATGATGTTACGACTAACAGAACGACCAAATGATTACTGGAGTAACACTGGGACACGAGGAGAGTTATGACAGAAGAACAACTAGGCCTACTTCTAGTCCTTGCCGTTAGAACTACCAGGGAGAGAGAAAGTCCAATCTATACACTCCAACATAATACGTTAAGGACCACTTTGACAGACAACCCTGATATTTTAAAAAATTCCGAAAAAAAGACAGCAAGGAATATTTCAATTTTTTTTTCTCTGAAATTATTAATGGGTTACCAATGCGTAATATGCTTTCTACTAGAGCTGGGCAAAGAAGCGATTCCGAAACCGATTCCCACAATTAATGCTACGGAAGAAAAGTTTCGACTCCTTTTTACGTTAACCAACGGTTACCGGTTACTTAAATCATTGAAATCTTCTCTTTTTTAAAAATAACTTATTTTGATAAATAAAAGTAGACGCTTCGTAGTGTTTCGAAATCAAGGTTATCCTAAATCCTGAAGATGTTCGGCGGAGCTAACCAACTAGCCAACGAAAGAAATCACAACATTAACAAGTAAACAATTGGGTTCGGAGTCGATTCCTATGATTCCTAGCTTTCAATAACCGGGAGCCGAGCCTCCCAGCACTACTTTCTACACGGGCAAATCCATCACGTGCAGCACGAAAATACTCGGGGAATTTTAGCCAAATTTGTTGTTTTATATCGACATGTGTGCGACACCAGTTAAAATTTCTGGTGCACGTCATAAAGGGACGTATGGTCTCGAACTGTGCTCACTTTGGAGGTAATATAAGCCGTCGTTTGCGCAAAATCCAGTATCGAATCAACATGCCAAAATGACGAAAGCTGAGAGACTTTGATCGCGCTAGAACTATGGGATGGGTGTAGGATGGAGTTGGAGCCCGAGAAGTTGCCAGAAGGCTTGCAGTGTCACACTCTGGCATTGTCTGGATCACTGGATCACTCCAAGAATGCCCACGTGCATGTCGACCAAAGAAGACCACTCAGAGTGTTTGCAAGTGGTCCTTAACTTATGTTGAAGTCTGTAGGTCACCGCTTGATTAACACGACAGTATTGCTTGTCGTTTCAATGTGGCCCTGTTGTTTGTAGGCATAACGAGTCCTCAAATTCGTGCTTTCTAAGTGCTTTACTTAGTCATATTATACAAAAAAAGACATCATGTTAGCAAAGCGGCTAGCCGTTTCACTGAGGAGGAAAGATAAAGATCAAAGACGTCATCAGAAGGTGACGTCTAAGATTATCTTTTTTTAAGTTTTAGAACGAAATCAACGGCACTTGCAACACAAATTAGTCAAATAAGTGCCGAAAATTAAGGCTGTTATAAAAGAGAAACAAACAAAGAAAAAAATGAGATAAGGACGATAGCAGATGTGTGATAGAAAAGGAGCAAACCCCACCAAAGAACACCCATCAATGAATCTGTCAGCGTAAAAAAAAAAGAGTCAAGGTCAAGGTCAGTCGAAATTAGATAATTTAAAAGAACAAAAAACGAACAAAAAACAAAAAACAAAATAATGTAAACAAGTTAGTATTAGTACAGGTTTTACGGCACTCGCAACTTCATAAGGTCATACGAGCGCCAGATGATTAGAGATATTACAAGAGAGTAACAAACATAAAAAAGAAGAAGGAAAGATAAGAACGATAGATGTTTGATAGGAAAGAAGAAGCAAACCACACCAGAGCACCCACCAACCACGCACAAACATAAACAAAAACAAACAAACAAAACAGAAAGCAAAATAACATAAACAAAAAAACAAAAAACCAGCAAAATAACCCCCCAAGGACGAACAATGTGTTAATTGGTCTGTCGTCATCGACTCACCAGTCCAGATTTGTAGCCCTGTAGCGTCATGAGCTGGAGGAAACTTTCTGACCTGATCCCAAACCTGGAGAACATCAGGTGACCCGTGCATCCGTCCATTCTCAACTATTGTTTGGTTGGGGGG